GGTAGTGGTAGTGGTAGTAGCAGCAATAGGGATAGTAGTAGTATCCTGTTGCTGAATCCATAAAGCCCAGAGTTTCTTGGCTAGAACCGAAAAGCCAAACGTATCTTGCCAATCAACCCCCCCCCCGTCCCGTCCACCGCAGGAGTCGCCAGCTCGGGTGCTGGAGCCTTAAATGTAACCGATTAAGTCTGCAAGCTGAGATCTACCGCGCAAGTCGATTTCAAGAGTCCACACAGCCCGGCCAGTCAGTCCTTACGTTTCACAAGAAGGACTGCGATTGGCCGAGGCCCTCTCCAGCACCTGAGGAGCCGGAGGCGCATCACCTCACATGGCACATTCGACCAGGGAGTGGCGTGGACCAATCCTTGGCCATGTGACTTTCTGGCTGAATCCTGTTTTTTTGGGTGAGGATTTTGTAGTTCGGTGGTCAGTCCCAGCCAGGGTTTTTGTTGCTGTGTGTTCGGGTTCGCCCCCAGCAGCGGCAGAGGTAATGAGTGATAAAGTTACCGGGGCGTGCGAGCGTGTAAGTTTGGTAGGCGTGCTGGGGGCTTGCGAGCGAGCAACAAAGCAAAGCAGTGCGTCGCCCGCTCTTCTTGCCGTGCGTTCGGGTCTTCCCTCCGCACGGCAGACACGAAAGTGCTGCCCGTGTTACTTTTTTGCTGTGAATTTACCCCTCCCCCGGCGGGGGTGCGAATGCACAGCAAAGAAATCACTTCCGTCATACTCAATGAAAAACCAGGAGTGATTGGAACCCAAGTAAAACACTATGCTAGAAACAATGATGCACGCCTATCGAAGCCGCTTAGGATTTGAAGGTAGGGGCTGCGCAACCCATGAAATGTCAATTGGAAGTGCTTAGGAAATCTGCCAACATGCAATCCACATTTTCTTCAAATTCGAGCGAAAGCTATTCGCCAACCGTGGATATCCATTGAGCTCCATGAACTACACTAGTATTAAACAGCCAGTAAACACCCATTGAATTCCATCAGCGACAATGGAAATCCATTGGAATGCGATGACAACATATTACAACACTATTGAGTTATCCTCAGTTGAATTCCTTTGAAATCCATGCAAATCCATTAACATGCAATGCAAACCCTTCTAAACGCGATTAGCATGTTAACATGCTATTCACAAAGCATTAAAATCCAAACAGTGAAAGACCACGCATCATGTACACCCGGAAGATGCCCGGACGAGCACGAAGACTGCGACGACCACGACGCCGACGACGACCTCGACAACCAGCACCTCTGCGACGAACAAGACCACGATGACCACCAGGACCATCACCACCACCCGGCCACCAGAGGGGGGAGCTGGAGTAGGACGGAAGGATTTGCCTCAGCATCGCCGGGTTTGCTAGACGCCCATCCTCTCGAGTTAGTGGATCCCCATGACGTAAGCCAGACAAGTGAGACTGTTCTTCTTGAACGTCCTGTTGGTGGGACGGCAATACATACTTCTTGCATTGTACTATTGAAAAAGTTCACCCCCTAGCTTGAGGATGCATTCCACATGCTATGGAGGCCCCGAAGCTCCGGCATCCGGCAGGAAGAATTCCACGTACTATGCACCACTACGGAGGCCCCACCACTACAAATGTACTCCAATACACGAGTTTGGGGGCCACCAAAGATCTCCAGCAGCCCTGGCAAACCGTTCCGCGCACTACATTTGTGCTCCAAAACGCTAGTTGCCTTCGGGAGGCATTCAAGTCGCGATCGGTTTCGTGGTTCGCCACAGTCATCACCCACTGCCGGTGGTTGGGAAATAATGTAGTTGTCATCTGTGTCGTTCCAGCAGGTGTAGACTCCCACACGCACTGCATCTGTGTTCGAATAAGGGAAGAGGGCTTGGAGGGTCGAGAGTTCGTGGAGAGTTGAAGATGCATTCCACGTGCTGTGGAGGTCCCAAAGCTTGCATTCCACGTGCTGAGCTCCAGGAGCCCTGAGGAAGAATTCCGCGTACTACATATGCACTCCCACCAGAGCTCCAGCAGCCCTGGCGGACCTGTCCGCATACTACATGTGCACTCCAAAATAGGGGTTTGAAGGGTCTGTGTGTGTGCTTCTCAGCACTGAGGTTGCATCCCGCCCTGTTTCAAAGTAGTCACTCCTAGTTTTTGCCGATGTACGCTTCATGCTA